TTTAGCAGTGGATAAAACTGCTGTGGCCCGTGTCCTCACACTGTTTATAATTGAGTAACACCCTGTAGAGCGGAGATTGACCATGTACTGGTATGATGAGACTTAGTGCCGAAGGAGTGTCAGATGGAAAAGCTATAAGGAGAGGAATCTGCTCTTAGTACTGAGAGGGCTCGGCTGCTTTGTTGTGTGTTTAAACAGTCTTCCTTGTCTGCCTGCACCAAAGCAGCTCTCTGTTAGACAGGCTGAGCACTAATGAGACCCTGGGAATGCCCTTCGCAGTCTACGACTTGGCGAAGCTGTTGTCAAAGCCTCTTGCTTTCCCACTTCCCCAATCGTGTTTTCTTCCTCAGGGAGTCATGCTCCAGTCATACGGAGCACCAGATTCCAAAGTTTTTAAGAGCAGAGAAGTTGAATCAAATTAACCTCTCTCCATAAGAAATAAGTACTAACTATAGTTTGTATTTTTGTGTTAGTGTTAACAGTACCACAGCTAACAGCACTATGTATATATATATAGAGAGAGAGTGAGTGCACACAATTTTAAAGCTGTATATTTCAATTAAAACTTTTTTTGTGGTAGTGGCTAAAAAAGACTTTTGCCTGATTAGTCTTAGGCTCTACTGATGTTAGTTTATCTAGGGCAGTGAGAGTCTGTCTTGGAGATAAATGAAACTACCACTAGCTAAGATAATCCAAAACAGTGCTTAATTAAAAATGACAATTTTTTTCCTTTCTCAGAGCATACTCAGTGCCTACCACTAATACCAAGAAGAGGTCTACCGGATCCTCTTCAAGCTGTCCAGAGGCTAACACGTGCCTTGCTCTCCTGGGTGGGACTAGGCATGGAGAGAAGACAGAAATGCCCCAAGTTGAATAATATTAAGCAAGATGCTCTCTTGAGGGTCCAGATGAGTGATACAGAAAGAGAACTCAAGTTCAGAGCAGGGTATTGTTCTGGGCTGTATCCTGTGGAGCCCCTGAGAACAGTCTTGAACTGATTTTGAGGAATAAAGTAGACAGAAATGAGGAGGAACCAGTATTTTGCAAGAGGGCAGGAAAGGCACAAAGTGTGGCTGCTTCTCTGTACAGGACATCATGTAGACAGACTTGGTTAGCAAAGAGAAGACAGTTCTCAGGAAGGGGTCTGAAGTACTCTGGGACCTTGTGCACTGTGCAGGACTGTTAGGCAATCTGAGTGAAAATAGCCTGCAGTCCAGCCAGGGCCACTCTGGTCTTTCCTTTTTAAGATACATTGGGGTACTGTATAAAATTTTGTATGAAGGAAGTCAGTATTGTTCAGAAGAGTTTGAAAACCAATAGCACAGAATTGATTGACAGTATTAGTGTTTGGGTATGGCTTTGTAATACTTGGTTATTTGGATTTTGGAATGGATTTTCCTTTCTAGTATGTTTTCTAGTATGTTTATTTGAATTGTAAGATTTAAACTTATGTCCCCAAACTCATATTAGGTAATTTGAGATGTCTGCTGTTGAATAGACGATTTCATTCTGATTTGCGGTAGGGACTTTCATTAATTTTGGTAACTGTTATGTCCAGAGCATGATCACACCTTATCTTGTTTAATGTTTGTATCCCTGTGAGTTAGGCATTATTATCTCTATTTTATAGCATTGAAAACGGAAATACAGAAAGGTTAATTAACCTAAGGCAGCTAATAAGGATCACATTTGAACTCAGGTCTGCATGATTGCAAGATCCTCTGACATTGCCTTTCTTAGTGCTGAACAATTGAGAATTGATTGCATGGCTGTAAAAAATAGGCATGTTATTTGTAACAACAACTTATTTTTAAATACGAAATACATCTGGGTAAAAGTGCTTATGTGGGCAGTTCTAGAAGATGGAATTTGAAAGTCAAGACAAAAAGTGAAAATTTAGTTTTGGAAATAAGTGAGTCTCATGACTTGAAAGAAAGAAACCTCCCCTCTGCCCACAAATTTCTAACTTAGAATTTTTAAAATTAAAGATGGAAAGAGTCATTTATATTCTTATCAAGTTAGTGATGAGAAGAAGCCTTTGCATTAGTGGTTAGCATGTTTATAGATGTGAGCTGAAGTTCAGAGATGGAAGGGGAAGGAAAGCAGAAGGTAGAGTAACAGGAGACATAGACGCTGTTACACCACTGTCTTCAGCTTCTGCTTCTTAAAGATGACACCATGGTTCCATGTCTTCAACTTTTCTTCTCATCTCTGTGCTTTCACTTCCATTTATCTTCAGTGAATTAATAATTCTGTGAAAGTCAAAACTCCATGAAACAAGTGTCATTTGTGTATGCATACCTAGATATGGTTGAATCTACAATCTCTCCCTGAGTGCAGTCTAATAGTTTTAATCTGTGGTTGAGTTATCAAACTATTGGTGTACAACTGTTGCTTTTTGCATGTCAGGCCTTAAAATATTTCTCCAGTTTTTAATGCTAAGTATTCTCAATGCAAAGTGACACCTCCTGGCCACTTAATCCTGATCTGAAAAAAATTGCCTGATTGTTGTCTTTCTCTTTTGTTTGTTTTTACTTTTCAAAATTAAATTAATTAAAAATTTTTGAGGCATTTTAGAAATTTGCCTAAGTTGACACCACTCCATATACCTTGAGTGATACAGAGAAATTCTCCAAATTCAGAGGTGATCGTGGGCTGTTTCCTGTGGAACCTGCAGGAATAATCTTGAACTTACTTTGCTTTTCTCTCACAATGTAAGAATTTCCTCTGGAATTGTGTAACTCCAACATTTGAAGGGGTTTTTTTGCCCTGTAGTTGAGAAAAGGCAGACTCTTTCCACATATTTTATTTAAGGGTATAATGTTGGATTTTATGACATTGATTTATATTTGTTACTCTGTAACTTAACTTATTTATGTTAAAAATAATAGCACATAAATCAGAAATAAAATATAATTTCAAGCATTTTCCTTAGTGTCTCATTTATGTTTTTTGCTCCTGAATGTTTTTTCTGTTTCTTTACTGTAAAATTCCCCCCCAGTATTAAACAATTACTTAATATATTTTATACCATGAAACGTCTTCATAGTATAAAAGTCATTCTGCAGAGTATGATTTTTTGGAGGCATAATCTATGAAATCAAGCTTATTTAAGGAGACTTAATGTACAAATTGTAAATTTTTATTCTGTTACATCTATTATAATATAAGCCTGTAAGTGGAAATGATTATTTCATGTGTCTTTATAAGCATAACACCTTATTACTTTATTAGTAACATCTGCACATACTTGTACCATCTTTAATTAATGTATTTGTGTTTTACGTTTGTGGTCATGGGTCAGTCTACTAAAAGACATGAAAAGCTACTCAAGTTTTAGAATGTTGCTGAAGGGGATGAAGGAATGTGATAATATGTGAGAGTACATAAATGCTAAATTTGGAAGTCGTAAACTGCTGTGTACTCTGTTATGCTGTCCTTGTTTTAACAGTTGGCTAGATTGTTTTAAATTCAGCTTTCCCTGTTGGATGGATTCTCTTACCAGCAATATTGATTAAAAACAGTTACTGACAACTTTTCTCAGAAAGAAAGGCCTCCCATTTCATCTTTTGATAACCTTCAAAAATATTTGGGGAGTTAAAAATAGCTATATAAATGGTTAACAAGATAGCACACTGGCTGTAGTTGAATTCTTTTAGTAATATAGAGAGTTTAAAGCTTTTTCTGTTATATATCTTGCCAGAAATAAGTAAGAAAGATAAATTTTTGGCTGAGTCTTTGGCTAAATGATAAATCTGTTTCAGAATGCAGAGGACATTGGATCAAAATACAGAGGAAATAATACATTTTAATGAACTGAATCCTATTTATAAATGTACTAGTTATAGGTAGCTCACTGATTTAAAATAAGCCTGTAAAGTTTCCTTTTGTAACCATCACAGCTTTAAAAAGGGCGGGGGGACCAAGTCTCTTTCCTAAATTTAGGTACTATGAATACCAAAATTTTGAAAATTAGGGCATATTTTGACCTCTGAGAGTCAACTTTAATAGTTGAATGAAATAATCATATTTTACCAGGTGAATGTGAAGTCATTGAAATTGACTTTTAGGCTATCTCCACGTGTAAACAGTTTCAGTGACTGTAATAAAGACCATTAGTCTGAGTTTGGGACAAAGTAGGCTTATCCAGCAGCAGAATAGTAATCACCAGTATCTCATAAACAGAGTGCTACATCTTAGTTTTATTAGTTCATTGCCTAGAAAGCGCTCTTTGGAATTTAAGTGCTGATGACAGGGCATTCTGGTATCAGTCAGTCAGATGGTACTCAACTCTGGATGGCATGTGAATACTGAACTATTCATATAATGCAAATATTAGCTATACTCCTGTACAAAATAAGGATTATTAGAGCTTTGGGGTTTGGATGCTGGAGATTTGGCCTCTCTTTTGCAATTTTTGTCATCCTTTAAGAGTACATTGTACCTTTCACGTGGAATGTGCCTCTGCCATTTCAGGAGGATTATTAAGTGCAGTCTCTTTTGGACTCTTGTCTGCCTCATAGGTCTTTATTTTATAGGCTGTATGTTTAAGCAACTTGAAATAATCTACTGCAATTAATCCTTCAGGTGTTAGCCAATTTCATTTTCTGTTAAATGATTCTAGTATGTAGTACTTTTCTCCAGGGATTCTGTTGCTGGTCACTTTTGCTTCTAGGTTAATTTTGTTTCACATAATTTCTGGGGAGGGGTTAAAAAGGACAGTTTTTATTCCTTTGCCAGAACTATCTGGCTTTTTTTTTACTATTTATGTCAGTTGTGCAGGAAATACAATAACCAAATACATGCGAGTAACTGCAGCATATTCCCAATTTTAGTAAATCTGCCACATTAGAAAGACAAATTAAAGAGGTTTATTAAGTTTTAAGGAAAGAAATAAAGATCAGAAACCAAGGCAAAATTTATCTTTTATCTCTAGTAATTCATTTCTGTAGGATCATTAAGTGCAATTTAAATTAGTACCCAAGATATTAATTTTATCCTATAATTATGCAATCATTTAAGATTAGATAAAATGTAATTTCTTAAAGAATCTTAGAGAATCTCATCTGATGATGATTCCCTTATGCATCTCATTGCTGCTTAGAGAATTCAAAGAAAACAAATGTAGTTAGATTGTGAGTTTATCATCACCAGCAGTGGTTGAACTGATTCTCATACTTTAATAATGTCTTAACTAAGGACCTATAGATGTATTTAGGCATTATGAATACAGAAATTTTATTCATAAAGCAGGAAGTACAGGCTCTTTCAGGTAAAAAATTATTTAGTCACTGTGGTGTACTGCAGCCAGATTGTAGTTCTCTCTTTGTGAGAGTCCTCAGAGCAGTCCTACCTGTGCTTACTTACCCATTTTCTTGGCCTCTCTGACCCTAGAAAGCCACTTCAGTTTCTCCCAGATCCAGTTCTGTCGAACTCGCATCCTTTATTCAGAGCACTGCTGCCATTGCGCCATCATGTTGTCATTGCCGTCGTCATCACCGTCATCGCCTCTGTGTATTCTGTATGAATACTTGTATATGTCATAGGCTTTAAACCTAGCAGTAACCCTAGTTATAATCTGGTAGTAGGTCTCCTTGTACTAACTGCAGACTGGGATAAAAACCAGCTTGTTTACGCAAGGTCATACATTTTGTTTATATATATAACCAGATCTCAGATTTGGGCCTGATTCTGACACCCTTGTTTGTACCTGCTGTGCTCTCCCACTCTCCTCTATTCCTCAGGGTGTTGCTGGTGGTGTGGTCAGGGTCTTATCCTAACCAGCTTATCTCTGGGTTGCCAACAGCTAACCTGCCCATCACATCTTGGTTTTAATCCTTTGCTATGATTGTCTGTTTATGGACATGAACCTCATGTTTATCATCCCAGATATTTAATGAATGCCTTCCCAACTCTAAAACCCAGTAGTTCTGTGATTCTTCCATTGAAAGGCCACCTGGAAGCAGTGTTAAAATATTCATTTTCACACAAGGGAATGTTTTTTAAAGAAGTAACTTCTCATGTGAACGTACTATGCTTCCTCACTCACTCACTGAGAGTGGAGCCATAGTTTACATGGTAATATATTCTTCTCAGGGGCACATATTTTAACTATACTACTTGCTGTAGGCCTCCTATAAATAATCATATTCCTAATGGAATTTTAAAAAATCTTGTAAGTGAAATATATGTATAAAAATATGTTTGTACATAATAACAGTTTAGCTCCATCCACTACAGTGAACACACGCTGTGTCTAAGCACTCAGATCAAGAAATGTAACATTACCAATATTCCAGAAGCCCCCTTTGTGCCTCCTCTTAGTTACTGCCTCCCCTCATAGGAACCCCTATCCCAAAAGCACCATAGATTAGTTTTACAAGTGTTTGAACTTTATTTAGGTGGAATCATACAGTTTATACTGTTTTGTGTCTGGCTGCTCCCAACATTGCATTCTTGAGATTCATCTATGTTGTGTGCAGTCTCAATTTGTTCGTTCTTATTGCTGTGTAATCCATTGTTTGAATATACCGCAGTTAGCTTACGTTAACTGCTGATGGAGATTCACTTGTTGACACTTTGGGGCCATATGAATAATCCTCCTGAGAACATTCTTGTAATTATTTTCTATTGGGTATGTTCCTAGGAGTAGAGTTACTGAGTCATAGAGTAGTAGGCACATGTTCAGCTTTAATAGACACTTTTACGTTTTCCAAAGTGGCTGTACCAATTTAGATTCCCATTAGCAGGGTTTGAAATTTTCTGTTATCCTACATCTTGTCAGCACTTGGAATTGTCTGTTTTAATTATTTTAACCACTTTGGTGCCCATAAACTTTTTACTAATGGTTGTGCTACTTTAAAAACATTTCAACTTGACAGAGGCATTATGGATTTAAGTGTCTATTTATTAATAATTATATAAAAGCTACTCATTTTTGGTTATTCTTGAAAGCTAGGCTTTTATAAAGCTATGCACAAATTAAGTACTCAGCATGTCTAGAAGCATCACAGTACACACAGCGTATGCAGGTAGACTGGCGAGGGGTCATAGGCAGCTCTTACTGTTACTCGGTTGTCCTTTTAGATTAGTTTTTTATTATGAATACGTGTTGATTTTGATTGAAGTATTGCACACATTAAACCAAGGGAAAGATTGTTCAAGTAATGAATGGGAGATATTTTCTGGAGTAGAACTTGGATACCAGAGTCTAGAGTAGCAGAAGGTAGGAAATGACATATTTTTTTGATGTGTGTGTGAGAGAGAGATGGTTGTTAACTTTCCGTTAGTAGTAGAACTCTGTTTTTCAGATGAAACCTGTGACTCGTTCCCATTTGTGTTGAAGTGGGGTGCAGAGTGAGAATGCCGCGCCTTCCTGTGGCACACTGTGGGGCATCACTGGGAAACCCTTGGGCTTCATGGGACACAATTTGTAAGCATCCATTCTAATGTGAAAGAAGAGGTGGTGTGAGGAAGCACTAGACTTGTTGGCCAAACGTGAGGTTTGTCTGCTCGACCTGTGGCTGTGTGACCCTCCGTAAGTGTGTATTGGTATCTAAAATGGGCATACTAACGTACCTCTAATGAGCACTGTAAAGGAGAAAGAGCTTAAATGAGCTGCTGTATAGTAAAATCCTTTTACCAGTAGTCACCAAATTATAAGGAGCTTTTTTCATGCCAGTTCAGTTAAGGTTGTAAGTTCAGTGCTTTGAGAGTGTAATGCTCTTGTCAGATCTGAATTTGAAACATGGCCCAACTCTTAACAAATGATGTGACCATGGGCAAGCAATCTTAACTCTTTGTATCTTATCACTTCAAAGTAGGGATAATAACATAATGCCTACCTCAGTTACTGTGGGAATGAAGAAGTATTACATATGTATATGTGTGTGTAAGTACTTAGAATAGTGCCTGGCAAAGTGAGCACCCAATAAACGTTATCTACTTGTTAGTGTTTCCTTTTCTGCAGTGACTTCCTTCCAAGCTTTCGGCTTTTTATCTCGCCAAGAATCCTTCAAGGGTCAACTTTAGTCCTGACTCCTCCACAGAGCCTCTTGATTCTCCCAGGTAGAATAATCTTAACTGAAGTTTTATACAAACCCATACGTTTCCTGTGACAGTTATCTGTACCCTCTGTTATACTTATCTGTGGCCATATTTTCTTTTTTCTCCTAGAGTGTAAGTTCCTTGAGGGCAGAAATTATGTTTCATTTATGTTTTTGGCCCCCTAATTATGTGACAGCTTTACAAGAATTTAGAAGTCACCCAATAATAAATGATTTTTATTCTTTAATAAGAAACTCTAAAATTAGCACTGTGGTTTTCTTGATTTCTTACACAGTGAGAAAATGTTTTTTCTAAGTCTTTCAGGAAGATAGATATTTGCATAATACATGGAATAATGGATTATATGTATCTCCTAGAAAATGTCAGGCTTTTTCAGTGCTCTTCTACGATACTAATGATGTTTACCTTACCCTACTCATTGCAATGCCCATCGCTTTGTTGAAATGTATTTGACTTCCTTGTTTAATCCAAATACATTACACTCAATTATTCACATATCGATTATTGTTGTAAATTCTTCCTTGTTAATTTTTCATAGTTGCTTAGCTTTTCCTATCACCCAAAACCATGTTCCACTGCTTCCTCTTCCCAATCTCTCAGTATGTCTCAGAGATAGTATATAACCAGGTTATAATATAATATTAGCTTAAGCAAAACAAGATTGGAATGGTTAATTTGTTAAAACCATGTAATGCAAACCACAGTCCAACACGATTAGTGATTTTTGTTCTTAACTGGCCAACATTTAAGAGTGAATGATGTTTTCCAGCTGCTTTTCCAGAAAGTTCGCAGTTGATTT